AGTATAAACTCTGAGTTTAACATTTTAATTTTCTCGTTTACCTATCGAACATAATTCATAGCTGATCTTTTTTTGTTTTGATAAGAGGGAAAACCCGCAGTCACTACAACCTCTGTCACAACCTCTGCCCTTCGGGTGAGCACTTTGTGCACATTGGGTAAACCTTCCATGTGTAATAGCCTGCAAACCACACAGGGTATGTAAACCGCACTAGGCAAGCCCTGTGTGACAGGCTCAACCCAAAAGGCAATAAGTGGAGATTCGATATCAGGTCATCCATATCGATGACCACCCTCCAAATCAACTGGGCATCTTTGTTTCCACTTTCTAAGTTAATGATGCTCATTTTTTTTCATGTGTAACATGTAAACAGAGAACTATTCAATGTTGGGAGAAAAGGAATGGTACTTTTTCACTCCAAGGGATCGTAAATATCCTAATGGTAATAGGCCAAATCGAGCAGCAGGAAAAGGTTATTGGAAGGCTACTGGAGCTGACAAACCTATAAAGCACAATGATGTTAAAGTTGGATTTAGAAAGGCCTTAGTTTTTTACGAAGGTAAACCTCCCAAAGGCGACAAAACAAATTGGATTATGCATGAATTTCGAGTGAATGAATCTCGCAGGCTCAAAAGACACGCACAAGACATGAGGGTAAGAATATTATTTTTCATAAACTTTCAGTTTCAGTTAGTTTCAATAGTATTACTCCAACTTAGATTATGAGTAGGACTAGCTAGCTAGAAACAAACGAGGATTTATCGAAAACGGTCTCTTGTCTGAACAATGTAGCTAACCTTCTCAAATCTCGCTTGTGAGATTATACCGGGTATATTGTTGTCGTTGTACTAGCTAGCTAGAAATTCCAGATTCTTAACTTGAAATATTTAAGTGGGTATTAGGAGTTTTATTTAACTATAAAGTGAGTCTACAAATAAACTTTTTCAACCTTTCTGTTTCTCTTTTTCCTTTTTTGGTCTGTTACTATTTATTAAGGTTTAAGTTATACGCGTTGAGTAAAAAGCTTTTACATTTTAAGTATAATTTAACCTTTGTAGCATGTTATCAACTTTCTTTTCGAAGTTATTAGATCATGTAACTTAACCTTTAACCTAATGGTGAAAAAATATACAAAGTACACATAACACTTAAATTCATTTACGATATGCAAATATTTAGATGAAATTCACAGTTCTTTATAACCGAGGACATGGTGAAAAAATATGCAAATACCGAGTACATGACCCTCGATAGAAAGCTGTGGAAGTCGAAAATTAGGGTGATGGTTTGATGGACAGTCTAGAGTTTTGCCTTGTCTTACCCAGTAGTAGTAGTACTAGTCGGGTACGTTCCTATTCCTAATCCCTTGTTTCTATACGGTATATTAGTATTAGCAGTGGGATTGACACTATTCTTGTAGTTTCATATCCCTGGATCTCTGTCATTATTCTTTGTATTATTTGCTTACATTGTCTTATTACATTGTTGTTGTTATTGTTTCTCTATTATATTTCTCCATCTTTTTACGTTCTTGAGCCGAGGGTCTTTCGGAAACAGCCTCTCTACCTTCATAGGTAGGGGTAAGGTCTACGTAAACACTATCATCCAATCCCCATACCCCACTAGTGAGATTCCAATCAGTTATTGTTGTGGTCACAGTTCTTTTATAAAGTAACTTTTTTTTGTTGTTGCAGCTCGACGATTGGGTTTTATGCAGGATTTATAAGAAAGTTGACAAGTCGTTCAAGAATGCCCGAAAGGAACACGAGCAAGACGATACAAGCATAAGTTGTTCTTCTATTGGTAAGGTGGAGAATTGTGACTACGAAGGAATTACAGATTCATATGAAATTGCGAGACAAAATTTAAAATTACCTCATCATTATGATATCACTTTCGACGATCCTGGTTTTAACATGGATTATAACAAATACAGTATAGATAATTTTTCCCATTTTGGACCAAGATCAAACTATGGTATACCTCTTCAACCATCATTTTCTCCTGGAAATATCTTTTGGGATCAAAAAGGATATCAAGAAAACTGCAACATCTTGCCTATGCATTTCGACGTCAATAACTTTTATCAAGATTCTTATGATGAAATTCAATCCCAGAATATTCTTGATAGTGTTCTTGATGAGAACTCATCGATCTATAAAGATTGATCCTATATTGATCGTCAATAATGAGGTTAGGCTTTAGAATTTTAGATTAAGACCTTAATTATAGCTAGTTCATTAGCTTAATTCCACTGTTTTTTAAGATAGTACTAGTTTTTGCGACTTCCTGATTGAAGTTGGTTTTGATGTTTGACTGTTTAAATATTAATTTCTTTCGTCTTGTGCTATAGTTATATCTCTTTTTTTTAAATCATTTGCTATATTTGTTATTAATTTTGTGTTATTATTATACCACTAATTGATCTTCTTATATTGGAGATTTGTGCGTAACATATACTTTGCTTTATACGGTTTATTTGGTTTTTAATATTCTAATCTGATTTTAACAAGTTTTCTGATAAAAAAATGATTTTATTAATCAAAATCAATAATTGATTATACGGTTTTAAATCACATTTTTATCTTTACTCACTTACATTTCTCTAATGGAATTAGTTATATAAAAATGATTATCTAAGTATTATATTTGATCAGTTCTATAGTCGAAACAATCAGGATATACTTTATGTTATGTAAAGATTGTCTAATCTAGTGTGCTACTCTCTTTTTTCCCTTTTCAATTAAGGAAAAAATCTAATACTTCTAGGTCTACTAGTGAAAACAGTTCTTTTGCATAAATATAATTTGTTGAACTCCTTTAACATAAAAAATAAAAGAAATCAAGTAAAATGGAGAAGGGCGTTTATAATTTGCTTTAGGTCTGACATTATTATTGTTTTTTTCCTATTACAATTCCTGACTCCACCATTGAACTCAACTTGTTCTTAGTGAAAGTTCAACCTAATTTTAAGGATATATCTCTAAAAAAAACTCAAACGCCGCATAAAGAAAAGAAAGAATATATAAATGGTGCAACTTGAAGCACTTATGGATTTGCCAAAAAATAAGAAGAATGAAAACCTTAGCCCACTTGACGAGATTAGATCTAATTCTCTTTCTAACATTTTTGGATTGACAGGAAGCTTTCTTGCTGTGTGATTCTGCCCCCCACTCTGCCAGCAGCCTATGTGTCGATCTATACCCAGTTGATCTACCGCTATTTTACTTTGCACGTTCTGGATAGGCGCGCATCCTCATAGAGTGGGGGGTAGAAAAGATCAATGAAAAACTAGAGCGCGAGCTAGTTGATCTACCTACAAATCCTTGATTTCTTATCCGCGAAGGCAGACTTGGACTCATTGAAGAAAGCACTTGAGGTGAAGATCAGGGGATTAGAAAATATATATATGGTGAAAATGGCAGAAGGGAGGATGCTTTAGCGGTGAAAATGCAAATAACTCTAACAATTATCATTTCTTTGACCAGAAAGGGGCATAAAATTTGACTTTTCGAATATTAGGAATTTAGGAAGTACGGTGTGTGAAATCATTTTGAATTTAATTGTCTTCAAATCCTTTTCTCATTTTTCTTAACATTGTTCAGAACTAAACAACAACAACAACAACAACAGATCAGTAAAATTCTACTAATGGGATCTGGGGAGAATAGTGTGTATGCAGACCTTACCCTTACCCCGAATTTTCATCTTTCGGTCTACAGGTTCGAAATTTTACAAGTTCCAAAGTTATGAGTTTAGAGGTTTATGTGTTTGGAAGTTTACGGGTTTAGAAATTATAAAGTTTACGGGTTTGAAATTTCGCGGTTTCGAAAGTTTATGAAATTTGTGAGTTCGAAAGGTTGGTTCGAAAGTTTATGATTTCATGTTTATTGTATCTAAATTATTTATGAATACTCTTGAGAAATTATTTTCCTTAATTTGCGTACCAAACACCGAAAAATGAATAAGATTACTACTTGTTTTCCAAAAAAATATTTTCTTGAAAAACATTTTCTACGGAAAATATTTTCTGTTATACCAAACACTCCCTAAGGTACAGGAGATTATCAGTTTATAAATATACAAAATCGATAACCGAACCGATAAGATATCGGTTATCGATTATCAATCTCGGTTCAGTTATCGGTTTACCCGATAAGATAACTCAATCTAGATTCTAGAGGGAAAAAGTAATGAAGGATAATGTGTATTGTATAAAAATTTGGGAGGGTTACAATAGTAGATAGAGAATTGGGAGAACTGAAAAATTTATATACCTAAGGGTAAAATCATATTTTTATAAAGGTTATTGGGTTATCGGTTAAACCGTTAATAAAATTATATTAAAAAAAAAACGAGACCCGAACCGATAACCCAATAGTAAGATAACACTAAACCGTTACCAAACCATTAACCCAATAACCCGATGGCTGATACCAATAACTCAATAAGCTTTTTTTGATTTGGGCTATCAGTTTAACCCGATATATGCCCAGCCCTAGTTCCATCTACTCCATAACAATCAATCTTACTACGTGAACCTTTCTTAAGGGGGAAAAGTTCTGCTGTGCTTTTTCATTTTGCTCCCCTGAAATGTATCCAGTCATGAGCTTTGAAAAATAGCTATCAGCAACTTTTCTTCCAATCCATTGATTGAGGGGAGGAATTTACCTTCATAATTTTCATCCCAACTGCATTTCAACAGGCATCTCTTTACGCTCGACAAAAGTAAATTTAATAAGATAAATTGAATATAAAAAGAGCAAGTTGTTTGAGAAAGGATGTTGCTCCTTTTTGCATCCTAGTATCCTCCCAACAATAGTAGAAGCAAGCAAACTGTAGTAATAGCACAGGCACAGCAGTATCCTACCAACATTAGTAGAAGCAAGCAAACTGTAGTAATAGCACAGAAGTCATAACAGGAAAAAATGGAATGCATTGTCAATAATTCATAAAATTTTCTTTCTTTCACCTAAGAAAGTCGCAAGCAGGCCGCAAAATTAATAACAAAAAAAATGTCTTTTCCTGATATTAATCAGACTCACAACTGAAATGCAGTTCAATGGAGCTGGACACTTCGTTTAAAGAGCAAATTTGCTACTTCCCCAGTAAATTTAAGGTTGGAATTTACAAAACAAACAACTCATTACATGGACAAGTTGCACATTCTCCCAAAAGGAAAAAAAAAAATCACCAGAACAAAGCAGAAATCTTAAATGCAGCCAAAAGCTGCTGGTAAAACAAACAGGAGAGGGAGGACTACAGCCCACTAAGATGATCTGCAGAATGCACAGGAACTGATAGTAAAAACATCTCCTTAGTGTTTAGGCTACAGAGTTGAAGAAGTTCTAGATTTTCTCATCTTTTCATCTTGTGAAGCAGTAGGTGGTAACGAGGAAGATGAAATCGCGGCATGGTAAGACGAAGATGCTAGCTGAGAAAATGCTGGAACAGCACCACCTGTAAGGTTTCAACCACGGAAAAGCATGTCAAATGGAACAAAATAAGGGAATAGAGACAAGGTTTCCAAACTCACAGTCTAGATAAAATAATAGGTTAACAAAAACGAGTTTTTGTTCCAACGGAGGGAACCTCTTGGATCTCCCTCCTATCAAAGAAACCAACACAAACACAAAGAAGTACAAGCAGACAGAAAATGAAAGTGGAATCCAAGGTTTTCTTTGTCAAAATTCAAATATCCATTATCATCTCATCCTAGTCCAACCAATATGATATGAATAAGGTTCAAATCGGCAAAGGATTCCATGAGACATATCTAGCTGAGGATTGCCACAATTCAAAGTAGTTACGGGAGCAAAGGAAGAAAAAAGGATCATTTCTGCTCCTGCTTGGCATATCCTCTTCAACCTTTCTAAGAACAACTCACGTCCAAAAAATAAATACTATAAATATAAGAACAAGTAAAGGCATATTTATTCAATTTCGTCTTCCAACTCCCATATGTAGTCAAGCCCAGAAAAAGCAAAGCTTCCACCATACAGGTGTCATGAGATAGGCATATTGAGATGAAAAACCTACTTTAAACATCTTAACTACCATTTTCCTTCACCTATACTATTATATGTTTTCCATTTTCCCTAACAAGGGAGGAAATGAACATCGCTTGCTTATACAATACATGTAATTTTAGAAGTAAACAATGCAAACATACATCAAAGAGAGTTGTTAGCTTTAAATTGACGGAAACAATTAAATTCTTCATTTTATATTATCTGTCTCAAAAAATGCACAAGTCTCAAACTGTTCAAAGATTACCAGTAAGGCAGTAACCTCCAACAAGTCACTCAACAATTTGGTTCACGAGTATTAAGCTTATAAATCATTGATCTAACACCGGAAATTAATTTCTGCAACTTTTGGGGATATAATTTATGAAATTAGAAACTGAGAAGAAAAGAAGAAATGATTGACGCAAATTATAGAATTTTTTTATTTAAGAATAATAGTCAGAGAAAATTAGTATGCCTTTGGAAAGGAGTAATGATATTTAGAGTCATTGTAACGAAAGCTTTTCTACTTTATTGGTGCTTTCAGTTTTACATAAGAGAATTAACCATCTTACCAATCTGCCAACACTAAAGCCTATAATTTTCTTCATGTTCTTAGCTTGATGTACTAATGATGAGCAATATAACTTGCTCCCAATTTATGTCGATCCGAAGGCAACGAAAGCCCTAAAATTGTCCAACATCAATGCTACTAAGTACTCTCTTCTAATTATTAAAATATAATGAACGTGCTAAAGTGAATAGGCTATTTCACAGAAGGCTTTAAAAATCTGTAATAGAATAGACAATCTTAAAGGTTTGAAAAAGCAAGTTCAAACCTGCTAGCCCTGCACATGCAGATGAGAAAACTATCACAGGAGGGGCCTGCATAAACAAAAAGAAAAAGTAAAAATATAGCAGGTAAACCACCAATATAAAAGTGAGAGAGACAGACAGCTAAAGAATAGGAACGAGTGAATCAATTCCTTTTTTGTTAGATAAGGTAGTAAATCTATTATATTTTTACTTTACATGTTCTATACTTTTGTCATGTATGTAAATATGCTTTACTATTGCGTAAAACACTTATGACTTAAGGTTGTGTTGATGATAGAATTCAGAAAATTGGCACATTATCTCTCCTAGACTAAAGTCTAGTGCTTTAAAATTTTGCCGTAGCAATGAATGCTAGCATCTATAAGCTTTCGGAGACGTTATTAGAAGTTTCTTCTGGGTCTCCTTAAACATTCACATATTACAGCATAAGGAAGTAGGAAAAAAGAATAACTTACACCAACAAGGAAATGCAACCACATAGGTCCTTTAATCCACCTTCTAACGATCGGCATCACTGCAAGTAGAAGAATGAGATATAAACAGGACTTGTCGGTTAAGATTAACATGATCGTCATACAAGCAACATTGTCACCTCACTGTGGATTCCAGATGCATATAACACGAGTATAGTACTTAGACAAAAGTTAGCCCTCTCAGATGAACATATCAGTATCTTTTACTCATTTATTTCCACAAAGAATTCAAATTCAAAACGAATGATAGTATGCCGGACCAATACCCAGATGGGTGGCGTTATTTCATTTACAGCATGGTTTGGTTGTCACATGAAGCAGAGCATACAACAACTACAACTAAGTCTTAGTACCAAGCTAATCGGAGAGACGGAGACAGCTATATGAATCCCCAGTATCCATTTGCTCCATATAGAGAAAATTATAATCAACATAAAGCATTTAACCTCACCTCAGGAAAAAAAGTATATAAGTGACACGGAAAACCGGTTAACAAGAAGAATCGCAAATGTTAACCAAATACAGAAAGTAAGTAAGGATGGTCAAAACACAGGTTCATACCATGGTTGAACCCATAGAATGCACTTGTAGTCCCACCAACCGCAGAACCAATCTGAACCATTAAGTAAGTAGTTAAGTAGCGGGGAAAGAGCGATGAATTAGGACAAGCAGATTCAGAGACAAAACAGGCAATTTATGCAATACACTTTCTATTGGCGATTTCATAAAACTTTTAAACGGGGATTTCAGATTTACATTTAACACACTTCTAAAAGTACAGGTACTACTACTATTCTACGTAACTCTCGTATGTTGCAACATTAAAGAATTAAAATTTATTTATCAATTCAACTTAAATACCAATATTTCTGGGGTAAATTTCACAAATGGTCATATGACTATGACTTTTTTTCACCAAAGTCATATAAATATGTTTTTTGCACACAAAAATCATAAAACTTTTACTAACTCACACAAAAATCATAGTGACCGGAACACACAACTTTCCAATAGTATTTTTTTCAGTCCAATAAATAATAATTCAATTAAAATAAAAATGACCCAACCCGACCTCACGTCACCTAACTCAATACCCATATATGTAAATTAAAACAATAATAAAAGTGAATCCTCCGAAACACGATACTTCTATCTTTTATTTTATTTTCAAGGTTTTCATTCAAATTGATAGCACTATTGTTTCAAGAGCTCTCTAATTGTCCATACCTTTTTTTTTTTTCTAGGTCAGAATCTCACGCATTTGAAACTAAGTTGTTTTGGGGGGAAGGCCTCACTTTTAGTATTATTCTAATTTATGTATAGGGGTATTGGATCGGGATGGGTCAGTCCCCCCGTCCCGATCCAATATAATTGACCGGTCGATCGAAATTAATTGCATTCGCTAGCCAAAAAGTGGATAGAATATGCATATTTATGTATATAATACACATATGCAAAATATATATATATATATATATATATATATATATATATATATGTATATCACTTGCGGGAAACTCCTTGTCGAGGGCCTGTGCACCCCCGGGATTAGT